CATGAGGTTAGAGGTTTCAATAGGAAATATTGTTTAGTCAAATTAAACATAAGAAGCACCAGTATTTTAGAGAAAGATTTAGAATCCACTTTTCAAATGAGAGAAATACTTTAGCAGTTATAATAAGTGCAATTCAGAACTCAACAAGTTATTAGGGGTCAGAAAGATAGTACAGCAGGTAGAGTATTTGCTTTGCAGTTGGTGAACCTGGGTTCATTTTTAGCACCCTATATGGTCCCCTGTGTGCTGTCAGGAGTTATACCTTGCACAGATCCAGGAATAAGGCCTGAGCACTGCCAGACATGGCCCCAAAACAAAATAAACAAAGAAACCAAAATAAAAATCAGGTTATTTGTGAAAAGACAGGAAAATATAAAAAAGTGAGTCAAATGTTAAGTTAAAAATGTAAATTTAGAGGACTGGAGAGTTAGTACAGCAGGTAATGAGCTTACTTTTCATGTAGTTGAAGTGGGTTCGACTCGCCAACATCACATACGGTCCCCTGAGCCTGCCAGGAGTGATCTCTTAACCTTACATGGACATCCCTCTCAAGATACCACTAAATAAGATGTTTTGGGCAGTTCAGCATTATGGAAATTCATAAAATGATGAATTAATAATTATCTCCATGACGTGTTAAGAGATCTGAAAAGATAAAACTGAACAGCTCACAGTATATTTATCTTATCTTTACTCAAGAAAATGCAACTTCTCTTAAAGAAGGGCAGAGGGTAGTGTTTAGAATAGACATTGTAATTATTTTGTTAATAGTTGAGCAAAACCTCATTTTGGTTCATTATTTATTTTATATATATAATTGAAATAACATTTAGATTGGGACTGTCAGAGAACTTAAGGAGTTGAACATATTCTTTGCAACTGCTGGGCTCCAACTTCAATATAGGTATAGCTCCCAAGAACCACCATGAGTGGCCCTCATGAGTTTCAGCACCACTTGGTCTGAGTCCCCGCGTCTCTGTGTCTGAATCATTAGGCTTTCAAAGCTGGCCTGAGTATCTCCAGGAGTAAACCCTGGGTCCTTTGAACACTGCTTGGGAAGTCCCCCTAATAAAATTAAATAAAATTTGGATTTTTGTTTGTGTCAAATAATATCTTTTGAATTGGTATGTAAAATATTAATACGGTCACGGTCCTCCCGTTGTTCATCAATTTGCTGGAGCGGGCCCAGTAACATCTCCATTGTGAGACTTGTTGTTACTGTGTTTGGCATACGTGCGGGCGAGATACTCTAAGTAGCTTGCTGGGCTCTCCGAGAGGGGTGGAGGAATAGAACTCGGGTCGGTCATATTGGCTGCATGCAAGGCAAACGCCCTACCGCTGTGCTATCTCTTCTGCCCTGCTATATTCCCAACTTAAATAGTGATTCAAATGTGTTCTAACTACTTCATGGTTAAGTACACTGTAGAAATTGTCTGCTCTCCTGCTGTGGTTCTACTTAGGATCTGACTTACAGTGTGGATTTTTAAATGAACTAGTATAGCTTACTGCTATCCATTTCATCTTCAGACAAAATGCTTATGGAATCCTTAACTTCAAGTAAAGAAGGGCTTGGTGATAGCCTATAGAAAATGTCTTAAAATAATAAATATTAAGTGTAGTGCTTTGCACATTACCTCCAAATTTTTTAAGCCACAACATGAAAATGAAAGAGTGAGTTAGAAACAAAAGACAATACCAGCATTTGTACTGGACAAAATTTACTACCAACATACTATGATTCAATATTTAGTACCACAACATTCTTCTCAGATGATGACATAACCTAGTTAAAGCTGTAATTAGTATAATAACCTAGTTAAGGTCTACAGTCACTGGGTAAATAAGTGTTAATTTTATATTTGAATTGGCACTTATATTTCTCTAGCATGGAAAAGAGATCTGGACACTGTCTCTTTTTAGCTACACTGAATAGCATAGTCATAGATAACATATTTCATTGTAGCATGGCTTACTTATAGCAAACCATTGGAAATAGGGTCTCTTACCCTACTTATCAAATAGAGCTCAAAAATTCACTATATTTATGATATACTACTAGCTGTACTAGGAAAGTTGCTACTGATTTTCTGGAATTTCTGCTACAATGTTCTATCTGTGAATTCTTACTGGCTTCCACTTACTCAGTTCAACATCCAAATTCTTACAGTCTTCCTTTAAGGTTAGTATTAATTTCCTCCATTCTCAGAGAGATTGATTAACTTTCTTCATCACAAAGCTTGTGAACATTAAAACCTGTTAGTTTCATTCTATATTCTCCTCATAAAAATAAAAGATATAAATTTACCATCGGAAGAAAACAGAAGCTTGTAATTCCAAATTAACTTCATGACTCTTATAATGAAATGGAATAATTTCTTGCTTGCTGTGATTCACATTACTATATTTTGGAAAAGAGCAGTTTATTATGTTTTGGACGAGTGATTGTTATTTTCCATGTGTGTGCTCTCTATTATAATTCTGAAAACATTAACTCTGCTCGAAGTTGGGTAGTGACATTTGGGTTATGTCTTTGAAGTACAAAATGGATGTCTGCTGAAGAAGTAGCAAACACCAGGTCCTCACCATGCACAATGTGATACAGTGCAGAGAGAAATGTCAAACCAAAACAAATACCGTCTTCCTGTTGTTCATCGATTTGCTAGAGCGGACCCAGTAATGCCTCCATTGTGAGACTTCTTGTTACTGTGTTTGGCATATTGAATACTCTCAGTAGCTTGCCAGGCTCTCCGAGAGGGGCGGAGGAATCGAACCCGGCTTGGCCAGGCTGGCTGTGCGCAAGGCAAACGCCCTACTGCTGTGCTATCACTTCAGCCCCCAGAAATGAAATGACCAAAAATATCTCATTTTACTAAAGCAACATCAAAAGTTAGAAATTTTATTTCTACCTTAACTTTATTTATATTCAATTGAATTGAAAACATTACCAGACTTAATTTCTCTTTGGTATAATACTAAGACACATGGACTTTAAAAATTTAGAGGAAAATGTCACTCTCCTTACCACTCTTCACATTCAACAGTTACTTCATATTCTAATCAATTTTTGGAAAACCATAATCTTGTCCATTTTTGTTGCCACAAGGCTTTCAATCAAGATATTTACTGTAAATTATTATATTTTGTAAATTTATGTATATTATGTAAATAATATATATTATTATATAATTTACATAAACTGTAAATTATTATATTTTGATTTTACATGATCTGAAATGGTCTCAGACTTTGGTAAAACAGCAACAGCCACAAAACTTTTATTTCTTATCCCAAAGGTTTGTACAGGTGGCTTAGAAATGATTGATGTTCTCGAACACCCTGGCACTTTCAGATCTCTGGAACCTGCCTTTAGTTACTTGACTATAGCCAGTTTACCAATTCTGAGGCCTGTATAGTGTCCCCACTAGGCAGGAACTACCTTTGTTTACACCTCCAGATTTTGAGTTTTTATGTACTAACATAGGTTGAGTATAAGCCATTTGAAACATACATCTAATTTTTTTAAGTAGAAACAACACATTTGTTTTGTTTTGGGGCCACACCTGGAAATGCTCAGGGAAAAGTTCTGGTTCTCCACTTAGAAATTGGAGGTCAGAAGGTCAATCGGGCTGTGTCTGGTGGTGGTCAGGGGATTATATGTAATGTTGGACATTGAACTTGGGTCTGCCACATACAAGGCAAGTGCCCTGACTGCTGTACTACCTCTCCAGCTCCTAAAATATTTATGTACTGAAAAATGTATTCACTGGGAAAACATCAATGAAAAACAAAACAGAGATTTGTTGACACCTCAAAAATAGTGTATATACATTGCAGAAGTACATTTAGAAATTTAATATAAAGAGTTTCTTGCATGGTATCCAAAATGTTGTGTAGAAGATAACAGTATATTAAAAAAAGAAGATAACAGTATATTAAATGGAGTGAGCTAGGGTTTTGAAAAGCATCTTAAGAAAAGGACAATCTTTCTTTGCTCTCTTGCATTCCCAAGAACTCTGATTGGTTAATATTCATTTTTACTTAGGTCTTCTCAAGAAAACACTCAATGCTCCTGCTAGATCTAATTGATTTAACTTATCAAAACCACAGAAGAAATTTCTTTCCACTCTTTCCAATGTTTTGTTTCTCTTAAGTTCAGTAGGGAACTGCTTCCGTGGAGCAGTCATCCGTGAGACTGGACAAGATAGGGTTGAGAAGGTCAACTGGGCTGTATCTCAATCATGCCACTTTTCCATGCCCCAAAAGGCTGCTGTTATAATAGGAGAATTATCTCTATTGATGGGTCATGAACATCTCCAGATGATTTAAGCTAGCTCAGAAACACTGGAAATGTCACAGGAAGGTTACTCTTCTGCCTGGGGCTAGGCAACAGAGATTTTCGTTGTTCTCTAATAACATACAGCACCTGGGCCCTCTAAACCCTATGTGAACCCTGAAATCTCCACCAAAACAGATAAACTTACAGGTGTTAATATTAGTTTGGATCAAGACACTGTTGCTGCAAGTATCTTGAGGTAGTATTATTTTCTATAAAAGGAGGCTCTCATCTCTGCCTTCCTATGTAAATTCCCTGAAAAATCCCCTCACCTTGGGTGTAGGCAAGATCCATGAATAATATTGGCACAGTAACTCCTGTGATTATATTTAAAACAAGAAAGAGATTTTTTTTTTTTTTTTGCGGAATTGAAGATGCACACAGCTGTGCTATGAAAGAGCCTGCAAGTTCGTTTATAGCATATGTTAAGGGCAACCCTAAAAGCTAGCTTAATCCTCAGTGGACAGCCAGCAAAAAAAACAAAAATCTTTTTCATACAGCTGCAGGGAAACAAATTCTGCCAACAACCTGGAAAAGTTTAAAAGTGATCCCTTCCCCGGTGCATTCAGATTAGAACATCATTTGGCTAATACCTTTATTTTAATCCTCTAAAACCCTTAGTAGACGATTCTGCTCCAGAATCCATGCAAGAAATAGTGGGTGCTATTTTAAAAAAAAAGTTTGTGATCATTTGTTAAATAGCAACAAAAAACTAATAAAAACAAAAGCAGGTACATAATACTATAACCATTTAATGTAGTAAGAGGCTCATTCAGAAAGATGAACGGACTTGCATTATTGTGAAATGAATGATAATACTGAGATTAGAATCTGGGATTCTTTTGTATACTCAACTTTTTTTCTCCATTACTTCTGAAGCATTATGATGCTCCACTCTACTGAATATTATTGGTAGACTTTTCACTCTTTCCCACTAACAAGCTGGGTATCAAAAAGATAACATATTGTCTTCCTCAACACAGTTCAAGGGAGAATTGCAATACTTTTATTAACTCTGACATAAATTCTGTAGTATGAGAATATTAATCAAAATCATGAAAAATGCTAAATTTCTGATGTTTTAAGAGAGATTTGATTTAAATGTCAATCCTCATCACTAATTGAACAATATTCTGAATAGTCGAGATCAGGAAATCGGATATGTAATTCTACCCATTTTTTGTATTGTTTCTTTGATAAATCATGTTTGAAAAATACTACAAAATTCCTTATCTTGAGACAAGGCAAATCTAAGCCTTTGTGCACCATCATCGTTCCCCAAGCCTAGAAAACAAAAGAAGGACAAAAAATAAAGTTAATTTAAAAGTCAATTTAAAAGTAATTTAAAACTTAAAGTTTTGGGGGCTAGAGCAATAACACAGTGGGTAGGGTGTTTGCCTTGCATGCAGTCAACCCGGGTTCGATTCCCAGCATCCCATATGGTCCCCTGAGCACTGCCAGGGGTAATTCCTGAGTGTAGAGCCAGGAGTAACCCCTGTGCATTGCCAGGTGTGACCCAAAAAGCAATAAATAAATAAATAAATAAATAAATAAAACTTAAAGTTTATTTGAAAGTTACACATTACTATTTGATAAAATTTTTCTTTTCCCCCTTCCCCCCCTTCCCCACAAAGCACTCTCACACAATTTACTCACTTGGCCACACTGTTTGCAAATAATCTCGCCATTTGTTTGATAGTCAGCAAACTTTTCTTTTAGTGCTTTGTTTTCTATGACAGTGTAGAGGTTCCTAAAATTATCAGAGTAAGAATCATCCTTGAGAGTTCATAACAGACCATGATACATTTGCAGCATGAATATTCTTCTGAACAGGAGTTATCCTATATCCCATTCTTTCTCTTCTTCTCACTCCTCTCAGTTACCAGGCAGTGTTGTGCTTCCTCTCTAAAACACATCTCCCAAAGGATATGTTGCACTTTGGGACCTGTTCCCAGTCTGCTGATTACTTTAATTAGGCTTAAATTGTTCAAAAGACTGAAAACAAATATGAGCACATACTAACTTTTGTGCCTTAAATGAAAATGATTTGGGGTCTTATATGTGTCTCCCCATCCCCCCCACTTGAAGTATATCTAAGAATTTGATATGTGAACGGAATATAATTTGGGGACTTAAGAAGAAAAATTTCTGAAAAATAATGCATCTTAATTTTACTGTTTTGGAAGGACCTTTATAACACACTGCTTCACTCTTTAAAAGCTACTTAAAATTGAGTTTTCCTAGACTTACTTGAATTCTTGTGTCATATTGACATGGTGCATCTTCTCAATTACATGGATAGCATCCCCAGAGCAGGCAAGCACACTGCAGTTTTTGCAGAGAAATTTTATTAATGATGGGTTACCCTTATATTGTTTTGAAATATTTTTTCTGATTTTCATTTTCTTCTCCATTATACTCTGCATCTGTAACTCCAAAATCTGCACAGAGAAAAGATTGTTGATTTTTCCCTACTCACTTCAGGGATGAAATAAATCTCTTGGAATTCAGAAAGACTAGCTATGAAAATATGTATTTGGCCTACCTCTAGAAATAACAATAAGACAACAGTCCTTAAATAATCGAATATGTTATCTTGTATAGTAATGGAAATGTGGCCTGTACAGGTATTTAACAAAGAGCCCATTCAAGTTTATAAAAGTTCTATTTTGAGAAAGTTCTTGTTGATTTTCAACAAAATATCTCCTTCTTGGGGCTAAAGCAATATTATAATTGATGGGACATTTGCTTTTCACATGGGTTACTCAGGTTCTTCCCTCAGCACTCAGTCTGGCTCCCTGAGCAGCATCAGGAATGATCCCCGAGAGTACATCCAGGAGTAAGCCCTGAGTACTTCTGGGTATGTCCCCCAGCCCCAAAACAAACAAAACAAAATCTCCTAAACTCCTCCCCATTTATTTAAATTCTGACTCAAAAACAAGTCTCACCTTTCTTCTACATGAACTCTCTTTAAAAGAACTGAACCATTATTACATCAATCATAGAGGTCTGACATTTATAATAAGTGCTTAGCTTCTTTAATTTTTCTTCATAAGTTATAATTTACTGACCCTTCACTATTTTAGTTCATTTTTCCCTTTACATATTTGTGGCAGAAACCACTAACTTTTTACCCAGTTTAAAGTTCTACCAGGAAAAGAATTACAATTTTATTTTGGGTGGAAATATACTAGGTAAATAAGTACATGTGTAGACCAGGGACCAATAAAATGTAAAAAGTGTTCAGTGGAATTTCAGAAAATTTTCTTAAATATCATATATATGTCATAAGTAAGCAAATAGAGTGAAATATCTATCTACTTATATCTAACTCTTACTTTTTCTTCCTCTCTTTTTCTTAGAATGAGCACGTGAATTTTTGAGAAGTATGAAACGAGATAGAAATGGCTGGTGCTCACACCTATACAATATGTCAGCAAGGGACATTCTTAAGTTATTCATCTTCCAGCTGAACCTGTCAGGGCTGGAGAGATAGTACAGCAAGGAGGTATCTTGCCTTGCACCTAACTAGCCTAAATTTGATCCCCAGCACTCCATATGATCCCCCAAGACCTGACAAGAGTGATCCCTGAACACAGAGTCAAGAGTACTAAGCACTACTGAGTGTGGCCAATAAAACACCAAATTTAACAAATTTATATTAAATTGTGGAAAAGACCTTTGATTTCCTTAAAATCTAGGGATTATGTTTTTCAATCACTGCCAATAAATGAAATTGATAGGCCCTACTTCTTAACTCTCTCATCAGTTTTAAGCCTTGACTATATGATGTCATATTTAACACAGAAAAACAATGAACTTTGTAAATAAGCTTGTGGGTGACACAACAGTTTGGTAAGACAAATATAAAGATTAATTTCTTGTGTAAATTATAACAATATAATATTCTATTAATTAAAAACTTAATTAGGTTGTTCGTATAAGATAATTATGGTTCAGTTAGCTGATTAATAGATGATTTGGCATAGAATCATAAACAAGTGGGCAATTAAGAAATATCTGAGTGTGAAGAAAAAAATTGAAAAAAAATCAAGCTAGTAAACGGAAATGTAAGCAGGATATCACAAACTAAAATAATAGTTCTGAAACAGTAAGAGTTATACAAATACTAGAAGTATAAAAAGCAATAAATTAATACAATCATAAAAATACATTGAAAACACGGCCATAATCAGTCTAAGGTACAAGTACAATGTAATAATTTAGGAAAAACTTGTTGGGTTAAAGCCAGGGAAAATATTTATGATCTTTAACGTCTCACTAGAGATTGGATTTTATTTAGGAAGTTTTATTTAGAAGACTATACTTCCAAGAATCATTTATATAGTTTATTACTAAAGCGATTTCTCTGATTGTGTAGAGCACCCAAAACTACGAGGAGAACCAGAGCATCCTCTTTTTCACAGGAAGCCAGTTCTAGGTGTTGCTTTTGCAAATGTCTTTTACCATGAACAATCATTCTTCTTTTTCCCTAAGAAGAGGGGGAGGGAGAGGATACAGACTGAGTGGCTCCGATCATTATTTAAAAAAAATAAATAAATAAAAGATTTTAGTTATCTCTAATTTCTGTATCTGACATGGAAACTATACCACTCTTAGGGTCACTCTCACCATTTTTAGTGCTGTCTGAACATTGTGCTATGAAAGGATACTCAGACAAAAGAGAGGAGTGTCATGAGCCAATAATAATGTTGACTGAGAGGTTTGAGCAGTATAGTGTTGGCATGTGACCAACATTATTACCACCCTGGCTTTGTGTTTGTCAACATGGAGCAGTTTTAGGAAAGCGTTTTTTTTTTTTTTATCCAAAGGAGACCTTAAAACATAGTCCACTATTGGAACCTCCAACCCTCACCCCTCTGTCCCTACCTGAAAAAGACTGCCTTGTTCAAAGGATTACCTAAGAAAATTTGACTTAAAAACTTAAGGATTATCCTAGAGTTTACCCAAAACAACTAATTTTGAAATGATTCTTTGAAAAGGTTCACTTGAATTATTCATTTAGGATATCAAATGTAAGACAATTTTCCGGTGTCATTGTTTTACCATAAATATTTGGTTTGACACTAGAAAATGTCTGGTTTGTCAAATTTAAAGGGGTTTTAAAATATAATTTTGTATAGAAACCTGGCCAGGAAACCTTGGAGTTGGTTACAGCAATGCACACCAACTTGAAAGCATCCCTTTCGTGAAACTCTATTTAGGGTAGAGCCAATTCCAATGTTAAGAAACTAACATTCACACCCATATGCAAGGGTGTGAATTTTATTCTAAATGGATTGTTTGCTATTATAGTAGTTACAGTCTTTAATTCAGTGGTATGGGGGATTTCCTGAAATATTGCAGAATATACACTCTTCACTGTATTGCTCTCACAACTAAAATGACTAAACTCAGATGCAGCTAGCTGGCATAATATGTATTTTCTTATTTTTCAGATTCACTTTTCTTGTCACTTCCTCAACCATCCAACTTAAAGTACTAATTTAGTGACTTGCTTCTTATTGCCCACTTTGAATTCACCAGTACTTATGACTATATGAGTCTATTTCTATATATTTTGTCCTCCTCAAATTTTACTATGTACATATCAAAATATAAGCCTCATGCAACAGCTTTCCTAAAACTATTATCTCTAGGCCTCTTTGTGTTGTCTGCCACCATGTTCTGTTTCTAGAACTTACCTGACATACAGTAAGCAGATTGTGTTTCATAATTATTTCTAGTATTTAAAAATATATTCATAGAAATGTAATAATACAAAGAGTTTGGATGAAATTAAGATCACCAGGTTGTGTTGAGTGGGTGAGTTGCACTAGGATTTCTGAGGTAGGGAAGGCTTAAACATGTATTATTAAAGTTTGTGATTTGTTCACAACATCCTAAAGAAGAGAGAGAGCAAAAGGGAATGCCCTGCCACAGAGGCGGGGCAAGGTGGGAGGGAATTGGTTGGAGGTGGGGAGGGATACTGGGATTATTGGTGATGGAGAATGGGCACTGGTGGAGGGATGGGATGGATCATTGTATAACTGAAATCCAAGCACGAAAGTTTGTAAGTCTACAACTGTACCTCATGGTGTTTCACTAATAAAAATTAAATTAAAAAAATAATAAAGTTTGTGGTTTGTTCCACTGGAATGGCTGATAATTTCTGCCACCGTGGACTTGGTTCTTCATATGTGAGTCTTTTCAAAGCACAGCTCATCAAACTGGAACTTGTAATTCAGCACAATTTCTGTCTGGATACTAAGCCACAAAGATATCAGTGACAACCACATACATCCATTTAAATGTGAAAACTAACATTAGAGAAGACCAAAAATAATACCTTACGAGTATACTCCTCTGGTTTCATATTTTGAACACGATCCATGGCTTTATACATCATTTGCTCTCGGAAGTTATTAACTGTCTCACGTTCAACAACTCCTGACCCACTCGGGGCAACCAGTACGTAGGTGCTCTCATCAGCTCTGGCTCTACCACGGGCCTGAGAAATAAAGTAATCAAGTCAATGAAGACCTGTGTCCATGTTGTGAATGTAGCCATAGGGAATTTGCTGCCCAGTGTCCCATCCATTCAGGGAACTTGCTATTCTCAGTAAAGTTTGATCACTCAATCTTTCATAGGTTGACTATTTGAAATTCAAATTTCACTTTAATGCAGAAACAATGTTCTAGAATGATGACAGTTAGTTTTCAAAGATCCCAATGTTAATCACCATCCTGCATTTTTGTCCCTAAACCTGCTCACTCATGGGCTTGAGGAGCCTTGGAGTCATCACAGTAACTTATACTGGAGAGTCCCACTGTCTGCTTGGAAGGAAGGATGAATGGGGAGAAAGGGAATCTGACCTTCAAACCAGGGCTGAGGAAGAGTACTTGTCTTGAACAGTATATTTTGAATTTTGAGTCTATTTTCTTGAGAAAATAAGTTCAACATAGTATTTCTGTAGTTCTTTTCATAAAAGTGATAAAAGGTAAAGGTAAAGGCCCTCCCGTTGATCGTCGATTTGCTCGAGCGGCCCAGTAACGTCTCCATTGGAGACTTTGTTGTTACTGTGTTTGGCATATCAAATACTCTTGGTAGCTTGCCGGGCTCTCCAAGAGGGGCGGAGGAATCGAACTCGGGTCGGCCATGTTGGCCGCTTATAAGGCGAACGCCCTACCGCTGTGCTATCGCTACAGCTAATTGGGCACATTGTGACTAACATAAAATTTTATGGCTTAATCCAGGAATCTACCAATTATATTATGTTTTTCAAGAAAATATATTCTAATAAACAAATTAACTTCTAAAAAACAACTTACTTCTGAATTTGGTGACAGTCTGGTTAAAGTATTCCTTGGTTTATCTGACATTGAGGAACACTATTTAAGTATTTTAAAAAACACTTTTGAATGGGTGTTTGATCATTCTGTGATTGTAACCCAAACATGAAAGCTTGCAACTATCTCACGGTGATTCAATAAAATTAAAAACAAACAAACAAGCAACAATAACAAAAAACACCTTTGGGACTGGAGATATAATACAGTGAGAAAGATGCTTGCCTTGTACATAGTCCAGCTGTGTTCAATCCCTGGCACCCCATATAGTCCCCTGAGACCTGCCAGGAGGAAACTCTGAGCACAGAGCCTGGAGTAAGCTCTGAGCACCACTGGGTATGGCCACACATCAAATCAAAGACACTTTTTAGTCAATTCTATAAAAAGTGTATTATCTAATAATCAATATACAAAATCTCTGAACATAGCATGAGGAAAAAGTGAAGTTAAATGAAATATGATATAGCACTATTTTTCTTTTTTGGGAAGGAGGGTCGGTCACACCTGGTGATGCACAGGGGTTACTCCTGGCTTTGCACTCAGGAATTACTCCTGGCAGTGCTCAGGGGACCATATGGGATGCTGGGAATCAAATCTGGGTCGTTCGCATGCAAAGCAAATGCTCTACCTGCTGTGTTATTGCTCTAGCCCTGTGCTCTATTTTTCTCTTCTTGCACTTATCAGTCTCTCTCCACCCCTAAAATTACATTATAGAAAATATGGGGGGGGGAATAGAAAACTTTACATTGTATGGGAGAAACTGCAGGGTTCCCTGAAGTTTGGGTAAATTATTTTTCAGACAACATCAAACACTGTGCTCCAACTGGTCCAGTTAGAGCTTACAGAAATACCAGAAGATCTTTTGACATTTATACGATGGGGTCAAAGTGGTGTTTCTTCAAGTATCAGTAGACAGCAAAGCAACAAAAGTTGTTTAAAATTACAAAAGGACACGAGAGAGATAGTACAGGGGTTTAGGATTTATTATTTATTTAGCACTTTATTTAGCATGTGGTAGATCCTGGTTTGATCTCTGGCATATCAGATACGGTGGTGGATCCCTGGTCCCCAAAGCACCACTAGAAATGATGCCTAAGTAAAAGTTCCAAAAGTTTGAACCACTATACATGGTTCAAAAACCAAAACCAAAACCAAAGAACAATAACAACATAGCCATTTAGTGATAAATTTAGTGATTATAATTAGTATTTCTTCAAGATGGCTCTTTTACTTGGAAAGCATATTTTTAAAACTAAAGGGATATTTTTGATATTTTGTTAACAAGAAATAATTAGCTTAAGGCACAAAGTCAGGAGTATTCCCTTTCCAGCATTGCCAAGTGAAGCCCAAATAAATGAACAAACAAAAAAAAGAGAAAAAAGGAAAACAACTTTTTCAGATTCCAAGAAAAAAATAAAATACTAAAAGAATCTGAGTGTACCTGCACCATGGCTATTTCATTAGTGACGAGACCATACCGGATAACAATATTGCATTCTTTGATATCCAGACCTTCTTCTGCCACTGTGGTAGCGATAAGCAGATTTATTTTTCCTGTGCGGAATTTACTAATGACATCTCTTTGTTCATTCTGTAGAAACATTTTAATAAATTAAATTTTGTGATGCTAAACACATTAAAATCTTCTAATTAGGAGAAGAAATAATAAATTGCAAATGGTCAGTGTAAATCAAAGGATTAGCTCATACATGGATTTGCTGCCATCTGTTTTTGGCAATGAACAAAGACATTATGGTGAGACAACATTTGATTTCCAATCTGGGATTACCACACAATAACAAAAATATTTCTAGCCTTCAGTCTGGAGGTGGGAAGACCATCACTTATGCCAAGAAAATTAATTGATGGATGACTTGGGAGGAAGAAAAGAGGATATGATTTTGGTTCAAAGAGGATTAGGTAATAAAAAACTAAAATAGACTTTATTTTTTTCACTGCATTAACGGCTGAATTTTTAATATTCAGAGAATAAGATGCAATGACATTTTTAAAGATTACTGAATTTTGTTACAGAAAAATAAACACTATGTAATGTATTTAGTTATTTTAAGTGAAATTCAAGGAAGAACTATGGAATATTCCTGAAAGGATATGTGAAATAGTCAAACAATTTGTTTGCCTCCAGAAAAGGGAAATAGAATTCTGAAATTCTAGAGGATGACAGTATGTTTTATACTAATTTTGAAAGTTTTTAATATATAAACATATTTTTACATTTATAAATTTAAACTTATATAGATATATATGTTTATATATGATCAATTATATGTATTATATAAACATATGATCAGTTATATATATTATATGCAAACAAAAATATGTTTACATATGTATATAATCAGTTAAAAGTGATGATATTACAAAAAGGAAATAATAAGTTCTTAAAAAGAATAATTAAATCGCTATATTTACATGAAACAGAAAGACTTTTGAAAGCTTACTTAAGTAAAGAAATTACCATATAATATGCACTCTGATCCTTGCACCAGAAAAATGGGTAAGTACAGGCCTAGACCATGAAGTGAGGTTTCCTTTTCCTAATGCCACTCTCATCAAAGCTGTTGGTTCAATGACCTTGTGGTGCATCTTCACACTATCTCTCCCCCCACAAAATACAAAAATAAGCATGTCAGACTGATAGTGTGCTTTATCTCCTTCCTTTCTTCTCAGAGGTAGAATGTGCTCTATATAACTCCTATCCTAGGGAGAATCCCACTTCAGTCCCTCCTTCAGTGCTCACTGATATTTTCTATCTCTTCATTTACATCCACAGATTAAAAGCATACATTCCCTTGATTTTAACAGAAGGTGCTGGTGCCTTGTTTCAGAAGAATAGCTTTAATAATGAAAATTCCAGAGTTTCAGATACCCGAATCAAAGCAAGTAAATGCCTCTTTCCATATTTTTACTAAGTCCTCCTCAGTTTACAAGGTAAGCCTGTAGTAAGGGTTATGTTCTGTATTTTGTCATGCAATCTTCAAGGTTTAAATTAAGGAGCAAAGAGTAATTTGGAAACATATATTCTATCTGTCTTTCAACTTGCATCTTTCTACTGAGGTAAAATAAAGCATTATATCAATAAATTTTATAATGAAAACTTTCAAAAGGATCAAAATGACAGAATATATTTTTTCTAAGGATTAACTCAGAGGCTGTGAGGCAGAACCTCAGTTTTGCATAGGGGCTTCCAGAAAAATAGAACAAACAGAAACATGTCAAGGAAACTGGTTATTACAAAAAAGAAATCAAGTTCCCACAACAAGGTAACCAGTGTATTCTCAATCACTACAGACAGGGATTTAATAGACACATACAAGGTTCTTCATTCTCCCAAAGCTGAATATACATCCTTGTGTACAACAAACATCCATGATAGAGTACATACCACAACACAAATGTCAACTCATGAAGATCAATATCATATGAAATATTTTTCAGATCATAATGCTACAAGGGTAAAAATTAACCTTTAAAAGAAAGCTGTGAAATGTACAAACTTGTAGACACTAAATAACATGCTATTGAAGACTACTGGGTGAATAAGGAAATTTAAAAAAAAAAAAAAGAATTCCAGGCCACAAATGAAAATGAAGCTCTGAAGCTGTGAATTGCTGAACGTATGGAACACAGCAAAAGCAGTATTGAGGGAAGGTCATAACAGTTCTGAACTACATCAGAAACAATAAAAACTCAAATAAATGCTGACATCATGATAAACAAAAAAAGTAATAATTTAAATCTGAAACTAATTGAAAAGGTAAAGAATATTAAAAACCAGAATGGAAAGAAACAGATATTTAAAAGATAATAGGGAAGATTAGTGAAACCAAAGTTGGTTTCTCTGAATAATAAATTAGATTTTCAAGCAGCTAGTTAAAAAAAGTCTTAATAAACATAATAATTAAAAGAGAGAAATTGTGACTGGAACCATGGAAATACAAAGGATTGAATCATAAAAAAACTATTATAAACAACTTAATGCCAGTATATTGGATAACTTAGAAGAAATTTACAATCTTCCACTTGAAAAAAATGAATTAGAAGGAAAAAGAAAAGTAAAACAGTCAAGGACAAGCAAGGAAATGAAATACTAATCAACAATAAATCCCAGGTCCAGATAGTTTTAATTTCCTTCTTCCAAACCTTAAAAGATGACCTATTACTTATCCTTCTGAATTTCTTCTAGAAAAATTTTAAGAAATAGAGGTTCTTCTTATCACCAGAGTTTCTACCACCATTATTCTGACACCCAAAGCAGAAAGATACATCACACACACAAAATATAATTGCAGACCAATAAAGCTGATAAACATATAGTGATCAGGAGTGATCACTAAGCACAGAGCCTGGCGCAACCTCTGAGCATCTCCAGGTGTGGTCTAGCACCCCCCCCCCAACACACACATACACACACACGCTACCACCAATAAAATTCAGCAACACGGTAAAAAAAATAATGCATTTTGACAAAATAGAATTATTCCAGAGATATAAGGATGAATCAATACATACAAATCAATTAATGTGGTATATATCACCTCAACAAAAGGTAGGACATAAATCATATGATCATATAAATATTGTAGAGAAAGCTTTTGAAAGTATTCAGCATCTATTTATGGTAAGGGTTGGAGGTAAAAATAAAATAATTTTAATGACTTTCTTCAAGGAAATACAACAAACATTGCTAACATTTATATAGAATCACAAAACTCCTCAAATAGTGAAAATCATGCTAGGGAAAAAGTATATAGGATACACTGTGTTCCCTAACACTAAATCATATAATAAAGCTATAATTATCAAAACAATGTGGTATTATAGTAAAAAGAGACTCTTGGGTAAAAGAACTAGAGTTGGGAACCCAGAAATAAATACTCAGATTTATAGGCAGTGAATTTATGACAAAACATACATAAGCATAAGATGTATAAAGCCTCTTTCATAAGTGGTGCTGGGAAAACTGGTTAGCAATATGCAAATGAATATTGCAGACATACATATATATGTATATATATGAATAGACAAATTACCCCAAGATAGTGACTTCTTCAATATCTTAAAATATTCTGCACTGCAAAAGAAACTCACTAAAACAAAAATTCTTCTCACTGAATGAGAGAAAAATTTTACACATCACACCTTTCAATGGGCAGCATCCAAAATATGAAAATCACTCACAAAACTCAACAACAAAATAAACCCATTAACATATGGGTGAATTTATGAGCAAACACTTTTCAAAAAACGGAAATATGGCCAACAGGCTCATGAAAAAAATATGTCATTATTACTTATCATCAGGGAAATGGAATTCAAAGCAACAATGATATATTATCTCATGCCAATGAAAATGGCCAATATCAGAAAGGCTAGAAATAAGTGTTGCTAGGAATATGAAAGAGAATAAAACCATAATTCACTGTTCTTGATAATATAAATCTATTCATCCTCCATGGAGAAGAGAATAGAGATTTACCAAAAACATAAAGACATAGCTACCATACAATCCATAAACTGCACTCTTAGATATCTAACAAAAGAACACAATTTGATAATTGGTATGCACAGCTATGTTAATTGTGTAACTAAAAATAGCAAGACTGAAAACTCAAGCGTCCAATGACAGATAATTAGATAAAGCTGTGATAAAAATACAAAATAAAATATTACTTATGTGTAAGAACAAAGTCTTGCTTTTGGTACATGTATGGAACTGAAAGATGCCATGCTAAGTGAAATGTCTGATGAATGTTTTGGATGATTTCAGTCATAAGTCTTATACAGAGAAACAAAACAAGAAAATACACAATGTTCAACCTCCAAAGCTTTAGCGGCTGCCAAAGTTATTTGGCCTACTGCTCTTTTTTTCCGAGAAAATAATCAGTCAATGTCCTCTTGGAAATCTATATTTTTAAGCCAACAAAGAGAAAGTTCCTCAAATTGTACCAAAGCCCACTGCTACCCTCTTTTCACTGCCACCTCTTTCTTTCCAACCCCACTCCAAGAAGTGATATGGCCCATTTTAGAAAACAGTGTCTTAGCTTCTGATGACATGACTGAGGATACAGAAGGATGAGGGTAGACGGAGGGGTCAAAGAGACAGTGGTAGAGGGATATTGACACTTTAGTAGTAGGTGTGAATCAGTTGCGTATTACCTCAAAATTTACCTGAAATAAAAACATTTATAGCTCTCTGTACAAATGTCATCTTAATAAACAAATAATTATTATTCATAGAGATCATATTAAGTACTGTAATGAAATATATCAAACACTTTTTTCTAGCAAATGCTAACACACATTTAATTTTTTCCATTGGCCTGAAAATTTGGTTTTACAAAGTGTAGTTCAGTTTCACTAAACTGCCCTTTGTAAAACAAAGTTAAGAATCCATACAATTACAGAGAAGCACTTTTTTTTAGGTTATCACCATTTGACCTATGGTTTTAATGTCTAAAATGCATTTTGTTTCTTTCCCAAATGTGTTTCCAATATGCATGAAATAAGTGAATGAAAATAAAATAAAAATGAAACCCAAATGAACTTTAAAAAAAAGAAAAATCTGTCTCAAATTTCTATCAATTTAGATCACCTTTATTATTCCAAGTTCAATGACAGATTTCATCCTACTCAAACCTTTTACATAGTTCTACTAATGATATGAAAAGTTTTGTAAGGATGAGATTTCTACTCAATATTACAACCTAACAGTCTTTCCATTTTGTTAATAAGTTTAAATGACCATCACTTTTGCAAAGGAATCTCAAATTTGGCAGTTCGTGTATGTGGGGGAAAATGACTGCTATGGCAATGCTTAATTTATCAGATAAAAAGATTTGGTTAAGCAATACCACTCCTGGGAATATATCCCAGAGAGGCAAAAATGTATAGTCGAAGTGACATCTGCACTTGTTTGTTCATTGCAGCACTCTTTACAATAGCCAGAAACTGGAAGAAACCTGAGTGCCCAAGAACAGATGACTGGTTAAAGAAACTTTGGTACATCTACACAATGGAGTACTATGTAGCTCTTAGAAAAGATGAAGTCATGAAATTTACATACAAGTGGTACAATATGGAAAGTATCATGCTAAGCGAAATGAGTCAGAAAGAGAGGGATAGACATAGAAAGATTGCATTCATCTGGGGGATATAAAGTAACAAAGTAAGAGATTAATACCCAAGAATAGCTGAGATCAGCACCAGGAGGATTACTCCATAACTTAGAGGCCAGCCGGGTATCCTAGAGGAAAGGGCAGTTCAGATAGAGAAGGGAGCACCAAATAAAGGATGTTTGGAGGATCCTCCCAGGAGGGGAGATGCATGTCGAAAGTAGACTATGGACTGAACATGTTTGCCACTCAATGCCTCTTTTGCAGACCACAACACCCAAAAGGAGAGAGAGAACACAGGGAATTGCCCTGCCACAGAGACAGGGGGGATGGGGGGATGGGGGTGGGAGGGATATTATCCATGGTGGTGGAAAATGGGCACTGGTGGAGGGATGGGTATCTGATCATTGTATAATTGAAACCAAAGCACAAAAAATTGTAAATCTACAACTTTAAAAAAAAAATAAAATACAATAAAGGGAAAAAAAAAGATTTGGTTAATACTAAAGTTGTACTTTTTTTACCTCTGAAACAAAAATGAGCGTTTCATTTTGTAAAGCTACCTGTGGGCGATATGAGAGAATATAAGAGCATAAGAAATCCATGGCCCGAAAAAGCACAGATTCAGGCATTTGCCTTGCATACAGCTGTGGCTGCAACAATGGTTGATATCCTGGCACAGCTTATGGTACCCCGAGCACCACCTGGTGTGACCGCTGAGCACAAAGCCAGGAGTAGCTCCTGAGCACTGCTGGGTGTATATCTTCACACACACAACACACACATAACACACACACACACAATAACAACACACACACAATAGCACACAAATAAATGAAGTCCCAAAGAATGTTTATACCTGTGTCATAGGTTTGAATTCACTGGTGTGCCCAGCTCCAATCAAATGGTGGGCTTTGACTCCCACTTCTGAAAATTTCTTGTTTTCAGTAATCCACTGAGACAGTGCATATGCACTTTGTCGTGTTTTTGTAAAAATTATACCTCGTGCTGGTTCTTCAGATTTTGTAAACTGTTCCATTATAGTGCTTCTTAATTTGGTCAGCTTTTCATTTTCATGATCTGGATTTTCAGCCAGTTTTTTCAACATACTCTGGTTTTCTTTAAGAGATAATTGGGTTAAATTAGTAAGTAATCCATATAATTATAGTGTAAGATTTTATGCAATGAGATTATGATGGTCTCAACTATATCTTGTGCTATAACATTTGATGCAATTACTTTGAAAAATGAAAAAAATAGAAAGATACAGGTAAGCAAAGATTGACTGTGATTATGTAACAGTAAAAACAGTCAAATCAATTAGAAATAACTCCTATTGAGTTGGATTTCTTCTCTCAAAATGATATTTTATGAGAGTCTTTTGGAGCACTCTTGAGAGCAGATTCAGGTTAGTTATTACATGGGACCATTAATAAACATCATATGTATTCTTACCAAAAAATAAATTCATGAGAAATACATCTGCCTCACTCAGTATCAAAGGTTTCTTTTGATCATCCTCATTTCCATCACCAACACTGTCACTATCACTATTATCACAATTATCTTCTTGAACTGCATACTTCTTTCTTTTCTCATCATTATAGAAAATTTCAAGGTGATTATATGCATCAATCATTCGGATCGTGTCATTGATTTGAAGGGCCTCATTGTACTTTCTCAAATGTTCTGCACAAACACGGTCTTTGCGATTTCCTTCCTTTGAAGCTACAAAAAATATAAGACAAATCTTTAGCCGACCACATAATGGAAATTAACAAAGCAAGTGGAGGGTAGTGGACAAGGAATGAACAAGAAGAGTTCTATGAATGGTGGTGAAAGGTATTGACACTTTGGTGGTAGATGTGGTATAGTAACAATGTGTCCTTAAAATACAAAAGGGTTTACAGTCTTGTAAATGTGTGTGTGTGTGCATGTGTGTGTGTGTGTATTAACCAAAATGAGGAACAAGATTTAAGGTGCTCGCCTTATTTGAGGCTGACCCCAGTTTGATTTCCATGATTGCATATGATCCCCTGAGTACCACCAGAAGTAAGTCTTGATTACTGCTGGTAATCCCAAAAAGATTAAAAACGTTTAGGGTACTGATTCTAGAAAGAGCACACCTTGCTGGTTTTTTTTTTTAAGGGTAAAGGTTGGGGAGGTGGTGAGTCACACACAGAGGAGCTCAGGACTACTTCTGGATCTATGCTTAGTGGTTACTTCTGGCAATGGTGGGTACTGAACCCTGGATGGTTACATGCAAGGCAAGTGCCTTAATCCTTATATTATATCTCTGGCCCTTGTTTTTTTTTTAAAACAGGCAAAGCTCAAGTCATGCCATGGGCTTCAAAAAGGGAAAGCTTTTCCAGCTCCTAGATTTTCTGCTTATGTTCTTGCATTAAGTACACACGAATTGTTTTATGATAATGATGATGAATGACATGAAAAGCACATTAGAGGATCAGAGAGATAGCACATCAGATAGGGAGCTTGTTTTGCACATGATCTATCTGAATTGAATCCCTGGCATCGCATATAGACTGCTGAGTACACCGGAAGTGGTCTCTGAGCACTGCCGGATGTGGCCCCAAAAGAGGAGGGGAGGGAAGTGAAAGGTAGGGTAGAGGGGAGGATCTGGGGAAGGATAGGGCAGGAGAGGTGAGGAAAGGCTAGAAGAGAAAAGAGAGGAGATGAGAAGAGAATAGAAAATAGATTGAAGAGGAGAGGATAGAAGAGAAGAGGAGAGGAGGGGAGAGAAAAGGAGAGGAGGGGAGAGGAAAGGAGAGGAGGGGAGAGGAAAGGAGAGGAGGAGAGGGAAGGGAGGGGAGGAAAAGAGAAAAAAGAAGAGGGAAAACAGAAAAGAGAGGAGAGGAGAGAAGAGAAAATAGATGAGAGGAGAAGAGAAAAGAGAGATAAGAGGACAGGAAAAAAGAGAGGACAGGAGAAGAGAGGAGAGGAGAGGAGAGGAGAGGAGAGGAGAGGAGAGGAGAGGAGAGGAGAGGAGAGGAGAGGAGAGGAGAGGAGAGGAGAGGAGAGGAGAGGAGATAGCACAGTGATGGACTGCTGTCTTCTTCCTTAGATAAGGAATTAGTACTTGCATATCTTTGTCATGCTTAGAAATAAACATTGTGTTTGATACTATATTTACTTTCAGTTTTTTAGAAAATTAGTCATATAGTCATCAGAAATTATGGCACAGATACCACTCCTTGGCATCTATCTTCAAAACACAAAATCATTAATTCATATATATATATGAACATAGGTGTATATATAATATATATAGGGTGTTTGCCTTGCACACAGCCAATATGGCCGACCCGAGTTCGATTCCTCCACCCCTCTCGAAGAGCCCGGCAAGCTACCGAGAGGATCTCGCCCGCACGGCAGAGCCTGGCAAGCTCCCCATGATGGATTCGATATGCCAAACACAGTAACAACAAAGTCTCCAATGGAGACGTTACTGGGCCCGCTCGAGCAAATCGATGAACAACGGGAGGACCGTGAATTCATACATATGAACATAGGTGTATATATATATTCATTGTTCATTGCCATAATGAGCATAATAGCCAAAATATGGAAACAATCTAAATGCCCAACTTCGAATGAATAAATCAAAAAGTTGTGGTATATATATATATGTGTGTATATATATATGTATATATATGTATATATATATATATTTACAATGGGATACTATGCAGCACCAAGAAAAACCAAAATCATGCAATTTGCAACAACATAGATGGAACTAGAAGATATCACACTGAATGAAGTCAGTGAGAAAGAAAGGGATAGTTATAGAATGATCTCTCTCATATGTGGAACTTAGAGGTACATAACAATGAGCCAAAGGTAGCACAACAGGAAAACTGATGAACTCAAGCAAAGCTGGTGAGTGAGCATTGAGAAGAAGGGGTGGAAGGGTCTTTCGAGGAGGGATGTGGGTATACTTGTGATGGATTTGGTGTTGGAAGTATGTGCATTAGAAACCATCATTAACATTATTGTAAAGCACAGAAACTCAATTAATAAAAATAAACATTTTCTTACAAAATAAAATTATGGCATCAATATGAACAAACCATTAGGTCAAATCCAAATTACCTTTTTTTTCCATTTTAATGGCCCATTGTTCATAAGGTTGAGTTCCAAAATCATGCATTGGACTCATTTGGCAAAAACTCTGAATTCTTGTCATTATTTCTAAAACTTTGTCTTTAAATGGATCCTAAAAATAAATTGTATACACTTACTCTTATATTATTGTATTAATAAAGAAAGAGCAATATATTATAAAATGATTTATTAATGTGCTATAATATATTATTTATAATCTTAGTATAACCATGGTAGCAAAGTAATCTTTGGCCACACCTTTCCATATTTCCATTTTTTATTTACTTTTCTTTCCACCTTTAAGCTGCACCCACCTCAATACCATTCACTATTTCATTTCCAATTGAAATGTTTGATAGAGGCAAAGGAGATAGCTCAAACAGCTAAAATTAATATATTGTGTGTTTGAAGGCCCAGTGTTCAATCTCCAGCACTGCATAGTCCAAAAGTATTGTGAGTGACTCCTGAGAACCAAGCTGGGAGTAGCCTCTACACACCACCAGTTGTTGTCAAAATGTTTCCCAAAATAAATATTTAAAGCTATAAAAATCAATAAATATCAATTAAAAACATTAATAGAAATTGTATAGGTATGTATATACACAAGCCTTGTACTTTAAATTCACTCTTGCAAATAAGATTCACCTTCTTGCAAATCAGATTCGCCCCTTTGCAAATCATGTTCACTTAAGAGAATGACAGAGTAAAATAACACAATAATGTCATTTTTTGTAATTATACTTATAATTACTTATGAGGTCAGGTGATTCACACTGATTTGATATGCAAAATATTTTTGTGGGGAAATAGGATCTGCAAAGAGGTGAATTTATTTGAAAAAGGCAAATCTAATTTGCAAATGGTGGTTCTGATTTGCAAAAGGGTGAATTTGGTGAATTTTGCCAAAGTGCAAAATCAATGTGTGTGTGTGTGTTTGTGCAATAATATAATTTTAAAAACATATAATTTAAAAAATATAATTATATAATTATAATAATATAATATAATTTTAAAAACATGCCTCTTTGAAGAACTGCCTTCAGGCAGGGATACTTCCAGATCTTGTGCCAGGCTGAGTCATCTGGGGCACCCTGGAGGGGGCAGGTGAGCCCAGCACCTGGCAGCCAAAAACCTCCACACTCCACAATAACCACCATGCTCACAGACTCCACTGCTTGGGACGAGCCCCATTCAGAAATTGATCTGTTGAAACACTCAGTATGTGGGATTTTGTACCTGAAATCTCCAGGCTCCAATGGAATCGGGGATGGCCTACCTCCCACCATCTCCCTGTTCTTCCGGAAGCCTCAGCAGTCATGCCCATAAACTGTCTCAGATTCTAAATAAGCTCGTTAACCACTTACGATCCAGAGACTCATAAACAAATCTTGAAAAAGATCAACACATTGCAGAGGTGCTTCCAGATCCAGTACCAGGATCTGTTGTCTAGGGCACCCAAAGTTATGGGCCAGTTAAAATTTTAACTTCATCTGTATCACCCTATTCAAAAATTTTGAATTCCTGGCATGTGGCATCGCAAGCTCTAAACTACTGATAAACTAGGAGTAGAACACCACATCGGATGGGATGTAAAGTAGAAGGGAACCAATCTCGGTTAAGAAAATATAGAAGGCTTAACCTGTAACAACATTATCTTCTATAATGGCTTAATGGCTCCTTGGTGAGATACAACAATATTCACACACTTTCTTTTAAGGAAATATTTTTGATCATTTTAGTTAATTATTTGGGCTGGAGTGATAGCACCGCGGGTAGGGCGTTCGCCTTACAAGCGGCCAACATGGCCGACCCGAGTTCGATTCCTCCGCCCCTCTCGGAGAGCCCGGCAAGCTACCGAGAGTATTCAATATGCCAGACACAGTAACAACAAAGTCTCCAATGGAGACATTACTGGGCCCGCTTGAGCAAATCGACGATCAACGGGAGGGCCTTTACCTTTACCTTTACCTTAGTTAATTATTTATAACAAGCAATATAAAAGAAATTTTTCAGGGACCGCTATTGGGGCAGGCTTGAAGTGTGATGGGAAATTTGGAAATAATGGTAGTGGGAAGGTGCAATGGTGGTGGGATTAGTGTTGCAATATTGAGTGTAATAAATTATCATGAACAGCAACAACAAAAAGAAGTGACTTTAATATTATTTCTACCAAAATAAAAAGCCAAGAGGTAGAATTATCAAAAGAGTCAGAGTCAGATATGTGGCTCAAAGGTAGAGTTACTACACAGGTAAGAACCTGGTTCAAGTATCAAGCTAATTAATAACATAAAATGAAAAATGAAAAATTCTAAAATAAAAGTACCTGAAAACATTTCAGGTTATTTTTAGTAACTACGGGTTGCAGAATAAAATTTAAAATTATTGAGTAAAACTGCATTAAAGAAGAGTGAAAGAAACAAATGTCACTTAAATTTGCTAACTCAGGTGAAAGGGACAGTACTCTTTTCTTAAGATTGAAAAAAATTTTATTGACTATGGAGGTGGGTCACTAATACTTTTTTAATGCTTATTGCATTTCAAATACAGCATTCTCTATTATGCATGTTTCATAACATTTAATAATAAGGTCCTTATGAGGTATGCATAAACGATTTTACATATCATCTACACATAGTTTAAACTTGTGTTGCCTGTCTTTCCTTTCTTTCGCTCTTTCTTTCTCTTTCTCTCTCTCTCCCTCCCTCCCTTCCTTCCTTCCTTCCTTCTTTCTTTCTTTCTTTCTTTCTTTCTTTCTTTCTTTCTTTCTTTCTTTCTCTCTTTCCTTCTTTTTCTGGGCCACAAACAGCTTTGTTCAGGACTGACTCCTATCTCTGAGTTCAGAAACCACTTCAGGTAGGGCTTGGGCGAGCATCTGCTGTTGGGATTGAACATAAGTCAGGTGAGTGCTAGGCCTTATCCTCTTTACTCTCTCTCAACTCAGGTTTCTTTCAGTAAGAGAAATGATTCATTGCAAAAGCAACACTAAAGTGAAAATTCCATTTCTTTACAAAGCTAGTGTTTTCCTAAGAAAAGTAAAATGAAGATGAGGTAGGATTTCCACTATCACTGCCAATTAAAATTTGGTAGCAACAAAATGGCTATGTGGAATGTCAAAAAACCATACTGGAATTCACTCTGACAATGAAAAAACTGATAAAACAAAACTAATGAAAATTGTATACTTTATCTGACATCTCTTTTCTCCTCACCCTTCATGGCTAATATGCAACTGACCAATTGCTAGCTACTCAAGACAAATTAAAAAATTAAATAATGATAGAAGGTATGGAAAATAATGCTATAATTTCTTTCCTAAAATTTTAAAATATTATTCAAGTCATTGAATCATTGTGAAATCATTTTTTCTCTCAAATGAATGTGTTATTACTAATAGAATATTAAATTTTTAGCACATACTTCTCTGGTGTCATCTGTGATTACAACTTTTTTGCATGGTTCCTTTATTTGGTCTCTGAGCTGATCAAGATTTATTTTCACAGTTTTAATGGTAGATGCATCAAGATTGGCACATATCTATAAAAGAGATTTTTTTAATTATTCAAGTAGTAAAATTTCTCTTGCAATTGATTCAATATACAATTTTTTATGTATTAAACGGTATTCCTTGTTAAATATAACATTTAAGCACTGCTTTACTATGGATCTGGTTAAACTATAACATTTATCCTGATGTAGTAAACAGAAGTTTTGAAGTTAAGTTAATAAATAATTATTAAAAGAAGGCATATTTACTTTAATTCTTTAAATTCCACTTTTCAATAGGAAAATCTATCATGAAAAGAATAGAGTAATTAAGAGAACTGAACAAAACACGGAACACCCGATGCCCGTGTCCTTTATTCTAGAATGCAGTCGGGCCTTAGTCTTAATAATAGCATATCTGGGAACAAATAATGGTAAGTCTGTCAACTCTACACGATTTTTACTGAATTAAGCTAGAGCATAGAATTTTTTTATTTTGTGTCACACCTGGCGATGAATAGGGGTTACTCCTGGCTTGTGCACTCAGGAATTACTCCTGGTGGTGCTAAGGGGACCATATGGGATGCTGGGAATCAAACCCAGGTCGGCCGGGTGCAAGCAAATGCCCTACCCCCTGTGCTATTACTCCACCCCCTAGAATATAGAATTTTAAATACAAATGTAATTGCTTGGTGTCTACATACATTTTTGATTACTCAGAATTCACTAAAAACAATTTCAATAGAATGACATTTTATGGTCCATTTGGGGCACAAGTACTTTTCATAATTTTGAGTCAGTGTGAAAATTAGAAACATTTAAACCATTTTCGAGATCAAATCATTATTTAATAATAGGAGTACATTATTATAGGAAGGCATTTTATTTGTCAGGCCTTTTCTTAATTATATCATTTTATCAAATTTTGTGATACTGATCTGTATGATCAATATGTTTTCTATTTTATTAATATTTAGTTCCCTCTCAGAGAGCCAGGCAAGCTACCAAAAGTATCCCGCCCACATGGCAGAGCCTGGCAAGCTCCCTGTGGAGTATTCAATATGCCAAAAATAGTAACAAGTCGCACAATGGAGACGTTACTGGTGCCCTCTTGAGCAAATAGATGAACAACAGGAGGATAGTGCTGCAGTGTGACAGTGCTCTCAATATTTATTAAAGAGTATTACTATTTTGTAGAAGATGCAATCCATTGACTATAGAAACTAGAGTTTCACCTAAGATGATCATGTAATATCGTTCATGCACTCCATGACAGTTGGATTTCACCTTTATAAAAAGACCAAGAAATACTGGAATTTACTTTAGCTTTGGAGTTTTCTAACTGCTGTTTTTGTAGTTTACACATGAAGTTAAAGACTTACTTTTAAAATGTGTTCTTCAGCTTTGGCTTGCTTTGTGGCTCCTCCAACACCAGGGGAAGCTGTAAGACCCACTATTTGAGGCAGGGGAGTTACTGGTTTGTTTTCTTTCTTGGCTTTATTGTTTTTTAATTTCTGCACTAAATAACGTCTCATGATGTTATTATAGACAGCTTCTTTCTTTGTGTGATGGCATTCATCAATGATTATGAGGGAAAAGTCTTAAAAGAAAATGTAATTGGTTCATTTATTAGTGTAACCAAATGGTGCAACCAGCAAGAAGAGAACAAAAAGTACTTTTCCTGTAGTATTGCTCGACCATAGTATCTTTTCTTGGGCAGAATACTAACACAGCCTTCTTTCTTGCTTTTTCCCCCTTCTCATTATTCTGTGGTGCTGGGAATCAAATCTGAGTCATGTATACAAAGTCTGCACTTTATGACTGAGCCACATCTCTGACTTCATCATATACAAGAGGGAAATATAACCATACTAGTCACCTCACATGCAGAAATTCATCTACATTAATGATTCCACTCTCCCTGTTAGATATGATCTCTGTCTAATAAATAAATTGTGGAAGTTCATAAAGCTAAAAAGTTAGAATGAAATTAAAATTAATACTCAAAAATTCTCAGGATTATACACTGGTTATTTAATTTCAATTGGTAAATTTTATTTTAATTACTTCAGATGAGTAATGTACTACTTAGAGAAATAATTTGTCTTATTTTAATGCTGCATTTATTATTATCTATATATTTAAAAAATCTGTATTCAGTGGTTCAGTGCAAAGGCCTGAGTGACGCTGGGGCCCAAAGAGTCCAAAGACCACTAGGGCCACCCTGGCAGTGCCAAGAAGGTCATATGATACTGAGGATCAAATCCATGCCAGGCATGTAACTACTAAACTATCTCTCAAGCACTGAGAGGATTGTTTGTATGGAAAAGCAGTCATGCAGTGCTTAGTATAGAACTGGACCAGGTGCATGCAAAGCATTTGCTCAAATCATTGAGCTATTTTTCTGGCCCAAATATTATATTTTGTCCTCTTTCTATGGAAAATTTATTAGTATATAAAGAGAACTTTTCAATACCTAGAAATAAATAAATTCAAAGTTCAGTAAGTGTCACACTTAACTAACTCATGTAGAATAAAATGATCCTTTTAAAAGATCAAATTGTTTTCTCAAGAAAGTAGAAGGGTTTTAATGAAAGCTTGAGCAATTGAAGAAAATCTAAGTAAAACCTGAACTTTTTAAACTCAACACTGAAGAAATGATTTAACCAGGATCACCTTACTGTCACAGATATCACTATGAATCGTTTCCAAAATAAACAGTTCAACAAACCTGATAACTGAACACCAGCATCTTCTCCTTTTTCTGCATTTAAAATGGAGTTCTCAAGAATCTGAGCTGTGCTGATAATTATATCACTCGATTTGACAACGGTAGGAAATGATATTTTCAACTGAGTATCACCACTTAATCTCTCAATAGCATAAAACCTCTTCAAAAATGGGCTGAACTCTTTGCGGAAGAGCTGTTCCACTAAAGGTACCTTTAAAGTTACAATGATTAAAAGTAGAAAAAAAATGGTTAAAGCAAAAGGAATAAGACTAAAACCCTACTAAATTTCAGGCATTCACAGAAGTGCTTACATTACCAATTAGTGACATAAGAACCTATCAATCATACTTAGTAATATCAACAGGTCCCTATTAAATACCCACTGTGTTGAAATTGCATATGGAATGAAAATATGTTTAAGATATGGTTGACAATTTTGAGCAACTCATTCTAGATGAGCACATAAATCAAGACTAAACCAAATCAAACCAATGATTGCAACCAAAGGTGGTAATTCTCCCATAGAAAAGCATACAAAGTTGAGGCCAGAGTGATAGTACTGTGGGTAGGGTGCTTACTTTGCACCAGGCCATGGCACCATATGATCTCCTGAGAGTTCATGGCACTCCATATGGTCCCCTGAGCCTTTCCAAAATGATCTCTGAGTGCACATCCAGGTGAGGCCCTGAGGACCAAAAGGTGTAGCCCAAACGAAAACTCAAAGCAAAAAGATACTACATACAAAGTGCCAGCAAAGAAAAAGAAGCAACAATTACACAAAAGAAAGGCTTATAAGGAATTGGAATTTTTTCAAGCCAGGGATTAGTGAAGACAGTAATTAAAACTCAAGTTGCATAAGAAAAACTTTTGAAATTTGTAAAGCAGGGTCTGGATGTAAAAGACTGTGTATGCCAACTAGAGTAATTTTTATTGAATAGAAAAGTTTACAGAATCTACTAAATTTTGTGGCAGAGTTAAACTATTTCTATACTTTGGAATCACTTGTAATCACTTGTCCTCCCATTGTTCATCAATTTGCTCGACAGGGTGCCAGTAATGTCTCCATTTGTCCCTGTTGCTTGCTAGTGTAGCCCAATGGCATATGCTCACTCCAGGAACTCGAAGAGCATCAAACCGTTCATTCAGGGTCTTAATGAAGAAGTCCAAACATCTTGTAGGTGGGCGACCAGGTGTTCTTTTGATGTCCCGTGGAATCCAGTCCCAGTCGGTAATAGTTCAAGTCCAGTGGTCATCTCCAAATCGCATTACATGTCCGGCCCATCTGATTTTCGGCACCTTGGCAAACAAGGCAGCGTCCATGATCTTCAATCTTTGACAGAAGTCAGAAATCTGGATTCCTTCTCTCAATTGAGTAAAGCGTGATAGTCCAAACACAGCTCTTTCAATTCCTTTTTGGGTGACCCTAATAGCATTCTCATCCTGTTTTCTTAGTGTCCAGGTCTCTAAGGCATATGTTAGTGCAGGAAGAATGGTGGAGTTGAAAAGATGTCCCCAGAGCTGGAGATTCTTCATCCTCTAACAACTTCTTTGATGCTCTTGAAGGCATTCCATGCTGCTCTCTTCCTCCTGCACAGCTCAGGTGTCAGGTCATTTATCATGTTGAGTCCTCGACCGAGGTACACATAACTGCTACACTGAGAGATGTTTGTTCCATTGAGAGCAAATGGAACATCAGGGACTAGTCTGTTTCTCATGAACATCGTCTTGGTGAGATTCAGATGCAGACCAACCTTTCCACAGTCATGGTCGAAGTCGGTCAGCATTCATGCAGCTTGGCTGATGTTTGGTATTGTTAGAATGGTGTAGTCAGCAAAGCAGAGGTGGTATAGTTGCCAACCGTCTATCTTCACTCCCATTTCTTCCTATTCCAGTCATTGCATGATGTTCCCGAGGGTGGCACTGAAGAATTTCGATGAAATGGTATCACCCTGCCTCACCCCACTCTTCACGCTGATGATCACTTCCTTGTAGAATGGTGAGATACTGGTGATGAATGTGTAATACAGCTCGCAGGGGATTCTGATGTACTGTGAGTTTGAACTCCCGGTTTGGCTAGGGCTTCCTTGACCGCTTCAGTCTCAACAGAATCAAAGGCCTTCTTTAAATCAATAAATGTTAGATAGAGCGCATCTTGAGCTCTCATGAAACCTCAATGAGCTCAGTCACTGTGTGAATATGGTCAATCATACTAAATCCTTTTAGAATCCGGCTTGCTCACATGGTTGTCCTTCATCTAGTGTTCTGCCTATTCTATTCAGGATGACTCGAGTGAACAACTTGTAAACGATGGACAACAGGCATATCAGGCAATAGCTGCCTATGTCGTGGATGTCTCCCCTTTTGTACAACAGAATGGTTCTGCTGGTTTTCCATTGGAACGGAACCTTGCATTCAGACAGGTAGCATGTGAAGAGCCGAACCAGTGTATTGACGAGAACTGGTTGCAGATTCTTCAGTGTTAGGATCTGACCTTTTCTGGACCAGGTGCTGCACGCTTCTTTACCGACGAAATGGTGTGTCGGATTTTGGAAGGGAGAATGTTGGGAACTGCATATCCATCCTGCGGAATTTGGCACGTGGGCAGGAAGATGTGGCTATGAAAAAGATCCAAGTAGATGTCATGGATAATCTTCTTCATTGCCCTTCTGGAAGATGTGATAGATCCATCAGGACATTGTAGGGCAGTCATCTTGGTTTTATAGTTGGGCACTGCAAATACTTTTCCCAGTTTCTACCGCATCAGCCAACACTGCTTCTCTTCTCTCTTTTAGGTCTTCCTTTATTGCTTCTCTGCACAGCTTTGCAAGCACGGATGTTACCTTGTGATTGCCTGAGGCTTTTGCCAAACCCTGTTGACAAATGAGCTCGAGAGTTTCCGAAGACAGGTGTTTGTTTGTGGCTTTCTCACTCTCGGCATTCCTCATGCAGTCATGGAGATGCTGAACCAGTTGATCATATTCCTTGTCGATGTTCTCAATGACAGCATCTTCCCACCTTGCCACAATAGTGCTAAAGAGCTCCCAGTTGGTGGTCTTTCTGGGAGTTCGTTTATTAAACTTTTCAGCCCTTCTTTCCTCCCCGCTCTGTGAAGTAGAATTTTGCATGAATGAGACGGTGGTCTGATCCTGTTTGGAATTTTGGGACAACAGTGACATCGGTCAGGCAAAACCATCAATTGAATATGATGTGGTCAATTTCATTGTGGAACTGTCCACCAGGAGACTCCCATGTCCAATGTTTAGGTTCGGCCTTCTGGAACTGTGAATTACTATGAATGCTCTTGGTTGACATGATGAACTCAGTCTCTCACCCTGTTTGTTCCATTGTAGGCCATGGGTCCCGATGTGGAGTTCTTCATCATAGCTGGATGTTGGTGCATAGACAACAAAGATAAAAACTGCCGGCAGTGAGCCACATCTATTCAAGAGTAATCATCTGATCCAGGTTGTTAGGCATTCGAATTAATCAATGCTTATGGCCAAGTTTTTGTTAACAAGAGTACTGACACCACTGATGCCTCTATTGTCACATGTTCCAAGGAACAGTTCTTCTCCAGTGTCGAAAATGGCATGTTGTGATGAATGCCTTCTCGTTTCAGTCAGACCAATGATGCTGTACTTGATCTTCTGTGCTTGTATCATCAGGTCCTCCATGGATGCTTCCGATGCCAGGGTATGTGCATTGAAAGTGCAGATAGTTATTTTAGTCCTTCATTTTGGCAGCCTAGTTCTGCCCTGTGATTTTATCAGCATCTCCTAGCTTGTTCTTCTTAACGCTGCCGTATGTGGAATCACACCAGAACCAATATGTCCAAGGGATTTAAGGGAGCAAAGAATCAAAAGTAAGGAGGTAAGAGTTGTCCAGGAGGGACTTGAGGTGAAGGAAAGAAATATATGCTAGACTTGCTTAGATGGCTGAGCAGGTAAAAGGACTTTCTGTGACGATGCATTTTATTTAGTAGAAAAAATGTTTATTTAGGCATTGCTTTGTATGACTGTTTAGCGGTGTAAAAAAAAGTCTTCCAAGATTTACTGTGAAAGGGAGAAGGATAATAGGGGAACCCATGAATTCTAAGGAAACAGTGTGAATTTAAAATCAATCACCAAGTGTCAGAGATAGTAAAGGAGATAAGGCACTTGCCTTGCATGCAGCTACCCAGGTTCAAAGCCTGCCATCACAAATGTTCCCCAGGATACCACCAGGAGTGATCGTAGAGCGCAGAACAAGGAGTAAGCCCTGGGCACTGCCAGGCATGGCCCAACTCCCCCTACTTCCCTGAAAAATAAAATCAATGACCAGAGCCCTGGACCTGGCTGATCATTTATAAATATCTGTGTTGCAAACAGGAGGCCAAGATCAGCCTGCCACCGACATGCAAATGAGTTTCTGGACAGCTCTGCTATCTGGGACCCAAGAACTACAACTTAATGTGTTCATAGCCAGGAGAGTGGGAACATGGCAATCAAAGATGTATGAGCTGAGCACTGAAGCCAAAAGTGTCAATTCTCCTACCACACCCCACACGAGCACTATGATCAGAATACTCACGGTGACAGCTGAATTCAATCCTGGGTAACATTGCAACTGTCTTTGAGCCCTGCAGCCAGATGTGCAACTAAGTTAAGTACCCAACCAAATGTGTAAAAATTGCATCTAAGTGTTTGTGTGTATGATCTATTGTCATTACAATAAAGGGAAAGGGAATAAAAATCAGTAACAATTTGTTGGTTTTAGGGTCACACCAAGTGTAATCAGGGTATACTCCTCACTCTGCACTCAGGAATCACTCCTGGAAGTGCCATATGTGGTGACAGGAATTTAAAATAGGTTTGGCTGCAGGTAAAGCAAGTGTGTTAACTCCTGTGCTATTTCTCTGGCCCCAAAATCCATTTTTGTAAGTGAAGAACTGTGTCAAGAAAGGAGTAAGAAAATGTTAATAGCAGTTCAATTTGTTTTTTCAAAATGAAGTGTATAATCTACCTTCCACAAAAATCACTTGAGAAATTTAAGAAAAAAAATTTCTATATCCACCGTAGAACTAATGAATGCAGGCTTTCCTTTCTCTGGGAGAGTCTTAAAACCTGCAGTTTTATAAAGTTTTTCACGTGACATTCTTTAAAATGTGAGACTAACAGCACTTTTCTCTCTTCCACTTATACATGATAGAGGAGATGTTATGAGAAGACAGAAAAAGATTTGAGAAAGAGAACATAAAGTGGGTTAGAAAACACAATATGAGGAAATCCCACTACTTCCTTATTGTGTGATCTTGACAAGTTACTTAATCATATCTGTCATCAAGATTTCTACATCAATAAAATAAAAAATACTCTTAACCTCTGATAGAATTGTGAAAATTCAATGATACAAAAGTTTACTTATTGGTAGTATTCAGAAAATGTCAACTATCCTTTTATTCTAACATGAGTGTAGTGTAAAGTAAAGAACAGTGGACTTAAAAGGGAAAAGAGTTCAAATTACAGCTTTGCTGTTTATTAGCTGGATGGCCATTGTCAGACTAAGACTCAGAGTCTCAATTTTCTAATGGATAAAATAGGGACAATTATGGCTAACTCAAATTATTAGCATTAATGATACAATGTACAGCACAGATGAAAATACAATATTAATTAATTTCTTATGAAGACACTACTCTGAATTCCTGGAGGTAGATTCCTTGAAGGCAAGATCTGTCTTTAATTTGTCTTTAAAAACCCTCAGGCTGCTGAATGGTTTACAATGCCTTGGAGTTACATGATAATCTGAGGTTCTTCCCATAAAGGGTAAGTCAACATCTTCCAAAGCAATAACATCTTCTGGTCAATTGCAGAATGAAAACAAGTTGCTGCTGGAAGTAGCAGGTGTTGTAAATCCTGATACTCACTCTGGGTGGCATTAACTTCCTACGGAAGGACATAGAGAAAGCCAGATGCAAGGCTGACATGGCTAATTGAGAGGTGTGTGGTCCTTCTGGAGCCTTTTCCTGAGATGTGACAGAGCGCCTGCCAAGACTAATCAAACCCAACTGCTACCCACTTCTGCTTAATCAGATGCTATAGTATAGCATCTGAAGAAACCTGGGATTTATCTCTTGTGATGTTGAAGCCCGAGATAGGAAACAGAAAGTCTGGGAACACAGGTGGTGTTTTCGTATTTCCCTACATTTGAAGGCTATAACTTCAAAAAAGATGGAGGAAGGGAGAGAAAAGTAAATGGTGTTAGGGAACAGAATTTCTTTTCTCTGGATCCAGGGTTTTCTGGACCTGGCTCTTGGGTCAATACGGAATGCAGATTATGTGGACTATGTAGTTAAGAAATGACTTACAAAAGAGTTAAAAACTGAATTACTGTAAATTCAAAGAAATGAGATAATAAAATAAATGTTTATGATTGAGATTAAAGATGTAATAGAGGGATTTCTAATAGTTTTTAGGGAAAAATAAGGAAACATCAGGAATTTTAAATGTCTACAATGAAGTTATTATTTATCATTGATGAGGATAACTTAAGAGCTAAACATAGCTAATAAATGTGGTTTCAGAAGACTCATAGAGATTCAATGTGATGAAAGACTTGTGGAAATAGCAGTTGAGAGAAAAAGAGCTATTATATTTTACTTTTGTTTGTTTATTTGTTTGAGTTTTTGTTGTTGTTTCGGAACCACACTGGACTTTGCTCAGGGCTATTTGTGGTTCTGCAATTAATGATCAATCCTTGTTGTTCTCAGGGGAACTTACAAAACCCAGGTCAGCTGCATGCAAGGCAAGTGCCTTACCCATTGTACTATCTCTCCAGCCTCAGCCATTACAATTGAAAAGACATTAGGCATTTATAAACACATGAGATCATAAGAATCAATTAACAATAATAAGTACTTTAATTTAGGCTCAAAAGTTAATGACACAAAAACATTTGAAATCAGAGGACTCTGGTTTAATTGCTTTTCAAAATAAAAGAAACTACAGCTCCAGATGTGTCTGTGGGTGCCAGAATTGGTGACAAAGGCAAATCCTGTCATAGGTTAATGTCATTCTCATCTTTCCTACACTCTTAACTACTAAGACCATCTCTTTAGCATATTTTATTCAGCGATGGACACTGAGTTTGAAAGGATTTTACTTAAATGTCTGTAAACTTTGAATAATCAGGATACTGAAAAATCTGGAAACCGTGCTATATAAGCAAGAGTAGAAAGGAACTGGGGATATTTATGACATAATAAATGAAAACAAAACACAAGGTTACTTATACTACCTTAACTATGTGAAAGGCAAAAGAATGGAGACAGTAAACTAGGAAAGAATAAGCCTTTTGTAGGGTAGATGATTGTAGGCAGAGTTTGAGGAAGTGACAGAATATTCAAAAGGTATGCTCAAGTGGTTGCCAATCTAGTTAACTTCGTCCTTCTCTCTGGACCCAGCACTTAAGACCTTATTCCAAGTTAAGAAATTTTATTTTATTAGTTATGAGGATGAGGAGAAGGGAACAGGATAATTAATATTTATTAAATCATTCTACATCTTAAACTTCAGAGAATCTGAATAAGCTAGTGCTACTTCATTCATTTTATTTTTTGAAACTAAATAAATTACTGGTGGGTAGAAATAACTTTAAAGCCCAGATTTCTTCAAATGATAATATACTCAATAAAGGAATTATTTGAAGAGCTATAGGCAGAAATGCTAATGTTTTACCATTACTGCTTATAGATAAAAACCTTTTTCTAATAATGAGCACTTGAAGTATACGGTGGGCTGGAGAGATAGCACAGCGGGTAGGGCGCTTGCCTTGCATGCAGCCGACCCAGCCCAACCCCGGTTCGATTCCTCCACCCCTATCAGAGAGCCCGGCAAGCTACGGAGAGCTTGGTAAGCTAACTGTATCATATTTGATATGCCAAAAATAGTAACAAGTTTCACAATGAAGATGTTACTGGTGCCCGCTGGAGCAACTCAATGAACAATGGGAAGACAGTACTATAGTGCAGAAGTATATAGTTCGTGAATGTATACTTAACTGTTATCCCATTGACAAGTACTAATAAAAAAATTTAAACAGTTACAAGTTAATAAACTCAATTACCTAAATATAGCTCGAATAACAAGACTTCCTTTTGTTTTTGTTTGGGGGTCACACTCACTGATGCTTAGGGCTTAATCCTGCCTCTGTACTCAGGGATTACTGCTTGCAGGTTCAAAGGACCATTTAGGGATTAAACTCGGGAGTGCAAGGCAAACAGTATACTGTCTCTCCAACACCTGTATTATCTCTCCAGTCTCAAGCAATGAGACTTTTATATATACTTATGAAGATGGTTTTGAAATATTCCAAGATATGCATTTTATTAAATATTTTCCATTTGCACTTAATTGTACACACCCATATATAAACATGTCCCTTGAAAAAAATTGTCTATTAAATATAATTTTCTCTCTGACATGACCCAAATTATATTTATTTTGAAGAAGTACTAGTTGCTACCATTAACCAAGGGTCAACAATAAAAGATTTTATTATATCCTAGTGATGTTTCAATTTTTTTATGTTTCCAATACTGATCATTTAAATTAGTACCCATCAACTTTAAATACCTGGGTGGAAAATATGCTCTTTATATATGTTTTGGATTTTAAGTTTGACTTTTGGGTAAAATCCACTTAAAATGTTAATAAATGATACTATATATAACTAGAAAAGCAAATCTTTAAAATAAAATAAATTAGCTTTTTTGACACTACCTCTATACTAAATCTGTGTGATTCAATGTTAACAAATGTCATTATACAAGTGCTTTAATATATAAAAATTAAAATAAATTATATAATTGTGGCATTCAAGTACCTTATTGACAAGGACTATAACTTTTCCAGGTTCAGATGCTCTTTTCTTTCTGTCCAAGTGGTCCTTGGCAATGTAAACTGCTACTCTGGTTTTTCCACTTCCTGTAGGGAGACATATAATAACATTCTTCCCCTCCAAGGCTGGCTGGGCAACTTCCATTTGGTAAGGTCTGAGATGCAATTCTGGATCAGGGGATGCTCTTTTCTCCATATTGTCTTCATCTGAGGGAAATTAAAAGAAAAATCAGGGTATGGGCAAGAAAATAATCAAGACTAGGAAGCCAAAAACTGAACATAGGACTCTTGATTATAACTTTTCACTTCAAAAAAATTAATCAATTTTTAATTTTCTGTTAGGATACAACCAATATATTTTATGAAGGAAGAGACCTGGGAGAAGAAGTGTCTCAGAGGAAGTGAATTAACAGAATGGAACTGGTAGGGGTCCACACAAGTGACTCTTTTTTATGGAATGAGAATGGTGCTGTAACTGCCCTGAATTCTTACTGCATCTAATTTTGCATCTCTATGTTGAGCTTTTAAGTTCAATTGTCTCAACCCATCTGCCTGCAAATCAAGAAGAACTGGAAAAGTAGAATCATTAGTCCTAACTGTTCTGCCCCTCTTTTTTAAAAAAAAATTCCAAGATGGTTTTATGGATGACGCTATGTTCCTAGATTTATAAAAACTTTATCTGACAACCAAATACCAAAAACATACATATATATGATTTTTGCCATTTCAGGCAACCAGATTGAGCAGAGCGATATTTAGGAAGTAGGGAAAAAACTTCTATGTTAGCCTTTAAATGGTAGATTTTCATTAAAAGATAAAAACAACTTTGTCAGTTTAAACTTAATTGTGTCTAATTTTGCCCTTTGGCTTAGAATTCTATTATCACTTTTTTTAAATAACTATCCATCAGTGTATTCATAATTATCTAAAATCAATGCACAATATAATAAAATATTTTAAATAACATTTCTAAATGTAACATATTGATAAAATAAATATTAACAATCATTCATCTTTTGAACATTTGAATAAAGTTATAATATCTTGATTTAAATGTATTCATTTGGAAATGACTATATTTATCAACATTAGTCAAAGCAATAATCTAAAAATTCTTAACTTATCCTGTAGGATGCAGTAAAATAAATATGATACCAATTTAAAAGCCCATCTTATGCTTTACGCAATCACAAGAAAAAAAAAAGGGAAATGACAGTACTTATCAGTATTTCATTACACATGGAGTTAGTGTTCTTTCTCTTATCAATGATTACAACAAAACTGAACTAACATAATCCCATTAACTTCAAAAAAGTTGCTGATGATTCCATTTCAGCAACTGGATGATTCTATTTGACTAGTTTAACTTGTTGTGATAGTACTATCTGAACAGGTAGGAAAATTTACACCAAAAACCACTTAGTAAGAGTCACCTACTAATCTGGCAGGAAATTTGCCTTCTGTGTGGATGAGTAAACACAGATGCAACACATTTAAGTTATCATTTGCTCATCTACTGATTCGTTTATGATTTTCATAAAAAGCTCCTTTGAGAGCACCAACATTTAAGAATATACATTTATAAGTGTTTCTCCCATTATTATTTTGAACTCTATAATAATTTTAATAAATAACCTTCTATTATGTATTTATGAAGATTCAAATTTATTTAAGAATATCACTATTCTCTGATGAGTAACTTTATGGATTATCAAAATCCTAATATTATACCATTATTATGTGCATTTTGTCACCTGAATTTTTCAAAAGAACTAGAATATTTGCAAACAAAGACCTATTTTAAATATTTTAACACCATCATTCTGGAGTTTATTTTTGCTAAATTGCTATTTGATCTAGGAAATTTGCTAAAATATATTAGCACATTCTATTTGCTTAATTTCACGCTAGATACATTTTTTGCATAGATTTAAAAATAACAAAATTCAGCTTCCCATAATGGGGAATATATTTTCCATATAACATAAAATCACGTGAATTTTAAAATAATTACCCTTCTGTTTTTTATGTTTACTACTGCACCATTAGGCAAAAAATATATAAGTACATTTTCCTAAATCTTTTCCCAGGAATTTGAAACTAAGTGAAGTGTATAAAATGTCATTATCATTTATACTTATCAGTCGCTTACTGAACTGATAAATAAGCTAGACTGTTAAAGGACTCTCATGTTCAAATTTTAATTCTAGAAACAAAGTTATGATATTTTACTGCTACTTTACTTGTCATGTGCAGTAAATATTTAGTGAGTGCCTATACACTTCCAAAAATATACCCCCCAACTCTGCCTCATCTTCAAGATTATCAGTCAAGAGCATTATACTGCTGCCAAAAATATCAAGATGGATGAATAGCTCAATAATCTTTTATATTTTTAAGTCAAGCCTAGAAACTTGATGGGTAGCCCCAAGTTTTAAAAAGAAGCATAGAGTGAATATGGGAAAAATTAGAATTGGATTCATTATGAGAATAGCATCCAAAGAAAAAGAGCTGGGTGAGTGCTAAATATTCAGCCTGAGTCTTGCCTTATCACATCCTCTAACACAGGGATGGAAAAAATTTATCCACAAGCAACGACAATTTTCTCTTCTCTGCCACCAGAAGGAGAGAACTGGGTTAGTGTCAATGAGTGATGAGCCAGTTTCCTATATTAAAGAAATGCTTGGAGTTTTGTTTGTTTGTTATTTCTTTTTGGCTCTTTAAAAGGATTATTTAAATGCAAGATTATACAAGCAAGGTTATTTAAATGCAATAATAAAATGGCATTTAAATACACACGGCATTAAATAATGTGTACTCTTGCTCTGTAATAAATACTGATTGTAGACCTTAAAATTATATTACACCATATAAATGGTCAAAAAAAGCCCCCAAAACTAATAGGGCTTAAATAATAACATTCTATTGGAACTACACCATGTGGCAAATTTCATTCTCACATTGATTTTGACAGCTGAGTTATTCTTGGAGAGAAAAGGTCTGTCACTGCATGTGTTCGAAATCGACAAAGTATTCCTTTACCTATACTATGTAACCACGGAAAAATACAACATTCCAGCTGGACAAATATTAATAGGTATTACCTCAAAATAGTAAGGAAACACTTTCTACATATCAGGCCAATGTTCACTGCCAAAAAAATATCGCCACTTTGTTAGACGTAGCATATCTCTCTGATAATGAGAAACAGAAAAACAAAACAAAAAGACCTTTTGTATTATAATTACAATTAAATGTTAAAAGTATCATTACTACTTTCTACTATGGATCAATATTTCCACGAAGGGTCACAGTGCTAAGGTTATTGGTTTTCTCATCCATGATGTTTATGGCATACTATGCATCCTTTGAAGAAAGACAGAAACATTTGGAATAAAATCCCTTTTTATATCAATTCCAAATATTAAAATACAATCTCATATACCATGGCTCTTTTCAGTAATTGAATGTGTAGTTAGCAATTTGCAAATTATCTAAACCTTTCATAATTTATTTCTATTACAGTTTATATTCTGCATTAGTGGCACTGGTTTCTTGTGCACTGACCCATCTAGAACTTGAATGTCTGTCCACTGACTGCTTATCTTCAGGTTGCTTGCTTTGGAAATATCTTTCCTTCTGAAAAGTACATTGTGTTCAGACGTTTTATGTCTTTCATGCAAAATTGAAGAGTGAAAAATCAGCAGTTATATTTGCTAGCATCTCAAAACAGATGAAATGCCCTGCTCATAGAGGAGAGTTGTTAAATATTTATAGATAGATGAACATTGCTGAAAAGCCTTTACTTAGGTAAACAAAAATTAAGGTGTTATCCAGAGTCTGAAGGCAACTCATAAAAACATTAGATATTAACTAAAATATATTGTGTCCTGTGTTCTACCATCAATAGCATTTGATGGAAATATTAGATTTGTCCAATAAGAATAGAAAAAAAACAAATGCATTACATAGAAATTTCACAAATGCTGACTGGGCTGGAGCGATGGCTCAACAAGCTGAGTATATGTTTTACATACAGTGGACCAGGTTCAATCCCCTGCAGCACGTGGTGCCAGCAGCACTTATGTATGTAGTCCACCCACTCCCTTCACCCTCCAGAAATAAAACAAACAAACAAAAACCACTGATAAATTAAACAGAAAATTTGCTTACACTTCCTATTTATGGTTATGATTGACGTTTGGTGAATTGGGTTCCCTCACAACAACTTGTTCTGACGGATTCCAGAATGTTTACAAGAAATGGAAATTTAAATAAAAGTTGTGGTATATTCTAATTTTGAAAGTTTGTAAAGCATCTTTATGTTTTGCCCCCTTCTGCATCTAAACTTCTATTTTTTTCTCACACTGCAGGGAGAGATAGTTCACATTTTAAAGTATATACAGTTATTTCCTAAGGGTGTCTATAAATCAGCCACAGAACAAATGAAGAATCAAATAATTTATTTCTTACTATATCAGTTAGCCCGTGATTATTAGCTAGTCACCACTGCCTGCAATTTTTGTGTGTAATGATTTACTTTAATTTATGAACTATTTTAAATATACAGACATAGATAGAATGGTATGTATAATGGATATCCAAGAACCAATCATTTATTCTGAAAAGATGCTTGCATTTTAGCTCACTAGTAATCATGGAAACATGGAAGGAGAGCAGAAAGAAATCACTTAGAATCGGTCAGAGAGGATGAAAGTTGGGATCTGATAAGAGAAAACACTGCTAAAGTGCAGAATTGGGAAGAGGCACTCTCATTTATTGCTGGAGGTTATATAATCAACATGGAAAGAAATTTTGAAAATATCTAGCAAAGTACTTATTTAGTCATAAAAATATTTTTCAAAATCTACTCCTATGCCAGATATATTTATACAAATTGGAACTCTAACACTATATCTAGTTCCTAGGTTTTCAAGAAGAGGGACTTGTGCTATCTGCAGAATTATACTTATCAATAGTCTTTCCTTTTTACTTAAAATGCATTTTAATTTTTTTAAATGTAGGGCTATGGAATAAATGTAGAAAACTGAATAGAGAATTTAAATGTAGTCAAATTAATTGAAACATCACATAAATAGAATAGAAACATGATTATATGGAATATAACATATGCCAGACCAAAATGATAAGTACTGGATCAAAATTAGAGAGCTTGATTCTAAGACTTTTCTTGTAAGTTGTACTTTTAAAGGAAGTGAGTGGCAAAGTTCCAAAACTACTTCAACTGTAGAAAAGAATTGCTTTAATTGCATAAATACATTAGGGAGGGTATGAACAGCCCCCATGCTTTCCACTATATGGCGTCTTATTTCACACTTTTTAAGGTTTACACAACAGTTAGGCAGTACCTGATTCACTTCCCATGGTGCCTGAATCACTGCCCATGTTGCTGTTATGTCCAAGACTTTCATCTAAGCAGCTGACACTTCCTTCTGCCAAACTTGTGTCTGATTCTGCAAAGGAAAACATTTTTAAATATTTTAAAAATATTTCTGAGAATAAACGTATTTTAACTGCACACCTCTACAGCACACAGTACATACAGTTCAATGCAAGTGGGGAAGGCACACCCAGACAATTATGAATAAAAAGTAAGAGTTTCTGGCGAGCTACACGTAAAACCTCTACTATGGATGAGCAGCTGCTGGGGATTTAATCAACAACATATACCTACTTAAAAGACCATATGCCCAGTATGAAAGTCAGAGCAAATTTTCGATGATCTATGACTTTTATCATCCCTCAACATGCATTTTTGCCACCCCTGCCAGAAGATCTAAGCTTGATGATGTAATCAGTACAAAAAATATTACATAATTAAATGAACTGTAAGAACTTAATAAAGCACATAGATACACTGATTATAAAAAGCTTGCTCATAAAAACTGCAGTTTGAGAACAACTATAACTTTAAAATCTCAAATTAAAATTTGCTCAAATATCATTAAAACCTGGTATTATATTTGTGCCAGAGACCTACGTGAGATAGAAAACACTTTTTTTTTGGTTAAATATTCATCAAAGAGTTATTCATTTAATATGTGTGGCAAGGACATACCCTTCACTTTTCTACTTTCAGTACTGTGTATCAATTCCTCTTGAAACCCATATTTCTTTCAGAGAAAACCTCCCTTGTATTTTTCCCCCTAAGGAATTTTATGCTTTCCATCAATAAGAATCAAGTCATTGCTAAACTTATAAAAATATATGAAAAATGACTTAAAATATCAGAGTTAGAATATAAGATCTTTAGAAATTTGCTCTTAATGTTGCTCTGAGTATAACTTTCTCTAAATTAAAAAATGAGTAAAATATCTCTTACAGAATTTGACGGTCAATAAATAATATTAGGTACAATAACCTTAGCTCTGCAATTTTTTTCTTTTTGGGTCACACCCAGAGATGCACAGGGGTTACTCCTGGCTCTGCACTCAGGAATCACCCCTGGCGGTGCTCAAGGCACCATATGGGATGCTGGGAATTGAACCCAGGTTGGCCGTGTGCAAGGCAAACGCCCTACCCGCTGTGCTATTGCTCCAGCCCCTTAGCTCTGCAATTTAATTGCTGGTGGTTGAAAAAAAAAATAAAAGCAACTTATTAAATTACTAAATAAGAGTTTTCTTGAACAATTCTCTTAAAATTTAAAGCTCTTATACTATTTTTACTTTTAAAATAAATGCTATTTTTGTTTGTTATTTTATGATAAGACTCTCCAAAGTACCAAATAAATCATATTGACATGGGCTTTAGTCATATAAAACAAGTCTAAAGTCATAAATTTAGAAATAGGCATAAAAATGGCTAGGGTTAGACACAGTATTTTCAATAACATCTCTTTGAAAAGAAACAATATAAGCTCCTCACAACTACCATTGTCTTTTTTTATTGAACTAATTAGTTGTTTATATTAAGTACTCTGAGTTACAATTTAAATGTGATTAAAATCATTATTACAAGAAGTATAGTTTTATGAACTTGATAAAGATATGTGGTTTTACAAACACAATCACATTCAAGGTTTTCTATAGTCTCAACAGTCTCTTTATACCCCCTTTTTTTTTGTATTTTCCTCCTGCTCTCCTTTGGCAGTCACTGATTAAATTTTTGTCCCTATGTTTGGCCTTTTCCATTATGTCATACAATAGATTTATGCAAGTTGCACCCATTTTGGCTTAATTCTTTAACTTAGCATTATGCATTTGAGATTCTATATTGTTTTAAATCAGTAATACATTCCTTTTTATTGCCAACTAGTATTCTATTGAGCATTTGAGACATCTACAACAGATCTCTTCCAAAATGGCTGTCTATTTAGCCTGGGAAATATATTGGAATTACAGCCAATGCCAATCAAAATACAAGACATCTTTCCTAAAAGTTAAATGAAAACTGATAAGAAATTTGTAGAAAAATCTCAACGGACATGCATACTGTTTAAGTATATTAGCACAACACAAATATACTAATGTGAAAATACTGTGCTTATCAGTTGTTGTAGATTAGCTCTAAAACTCAGAATTGAGGAATCCCTTATGATCACACAGAAAAACCTGTATATCTCACTGAGAGATTTTAAATATGGCACTTTGCAATTCCCAGAGGTATGGCTTGTTAGAAGCTCAGAGGCGAGTGTGGGATAGAACTGTCAAGGAGAGGAGTGTTTTGGGCAGATGTACTGATGAAAAGAGAATATGATTTGTAAGGAAAAGGCAAGGTGTAAAATGAGATGGGGAAAATGTCATTGCAAGGATAATTCTAAAGCTAGATCTACAGACCAAGACTTTTGAGGCTAGAAAGAAAATTTGAACATGCAATTGTTCTAAATGTGATACTGAGGACTAAAAACAACAATGAAATTAGTGAAAAGTATTAACCCATATTACCTAAAATTTAGTACTGCATCTTTGTTTCCCACAAAGTGTAAAGGCAAATGGAAACTGTATTTTATTTTTCATTTAATTTTTCTAATCACTGTCAGTTGAAGCTAATTGAATTTCTTAGTATACAACCAAAGTTATTTCCCAAGTTTTGTTAACAGACAGAAGATTTGTAAAAGTTATTTAACCCAAAGTATAGCATAATACATGAACGCTAAAGAAGATTGTCATCAAAAATAAGGCGGGATTAATTAAATTCATCATCTTAATGATTTTGATCTAATAAACAAATCTGCAAAGTGTCAGGAATAGACTTAGCTCAGTGCTTACACCGACACAATGTAAATTACTTTTTAAACTCTCAACATGCTAGGTAGTTACCCATTATCACCTCAATTTTATTGGTGAGAAACCAAGGTTCAGAGAGGTTAAATGATTCATCCATATCACACAGCTACAGTGGGGACAGCCAGGAAGTTCCTTTCCTTAAATGCAAGTCTAGTTTTAGAATGCTTTTGACCTGACACCAGATTTGACTAATGATCTGTGCGAAGCTTTGTAAACAAGCAATCTTGTATCTATAGTGTTAAGTGAAATGAAAGTCGGATTATTTTACAGTCTTATAGACTTTTTTATTGCAATGTCTATGCTTCTATCAATCTTGAAACAGAACTTATCTTTCCCAGAAAGAGATTATATTTTGCTGACGTTTATGATTTTGTCAATAAAATTACATTTTTTTCAAATTTAACCACTTATTCTTAAGCTGTTTTCTGCACACAAAATAATATTTCTATCATTGCTGAACAAAATTTGTTGAAATAATTTTGTAAAGATTATTATGAAAATGAAAGACTAGGAACCTATTTCTTTATCATTTAAAAAGGAACATAACTCGCCAGTTTCTCTACATACAAAAATAACTGATTTTTAGGTAGAAAATTCTAATGAATCTGATATATTTTTATTTTATAGAAAAAAGACACATTAAATTAAAATTTTTAATAATAAAGAGAATATATTATGTTCTCCACAGCATTGATAATGTCTTTGCCAGATTTGTTCCCCCGTTATTCACTTTTAAGAAAGCCACACACACCCAAATTTAGAACAAGAAAGTTCTTGTATAATACAAAGAGCAAAAAGACTATATTTTAAGAGTTCCTATGATTAGTTTTATATGATTATCTCATTTCATTCTTTGTAATTCTTATTGTATATCAATCTCCACTCATGTTGTAAAGAACCAAGTCCTGTGTCTAAGATTTTAAAGTATCAAATGGCCAGCTAGCGATGAGGTATTCTCATAAAAAGAATGTGTTCTAGGAAGTCAAGATTTAAACTCAATCACTCCTAACAAGAGCTTTCATGTTTTTAAAAAGTCAATATAGATAGCAGTTTTTTACCTTCCTCCTTATTGTGATGATTCTTTTAAACTCAAAATATGACTCAAAGAAAAACAAAATTAAAATCTTATGAATTTGCTGCTTAAAGGGAATTTGGATACTGGAATGATGCAATAAATTTAGTTGAGTTTTGTATAGGCATAATTTCCTCAAAGGAAAATATCAAAATTAGCTTCAAATGGATTAGAAATGCTGGTAATTTTGAACGGTCAACGGAGTTATTTATATCAAATGCTATTATGATGAAAAAATACATATTTATCTTGTTAAAAGACAGTATTTTCTATGATAATTTTGTAAGTGACAGAAAAAGTAACAATTTTGCTTATATTAATATTGAGGGTATAAGATCACTTCATAAATGAAAGGAAATCACTCTTCATTTTACAATTTCATTTTGAATATTTTACTAATAAAACATAAAGATTAGCTAAAACTAATAAATTTAACGTTCCTTGCAGCTAAAATACTTTAAAATATTTTAAATCTACTTAGAAACCAAAATTACTGAATTAAAAAAAATTAAAGGTAAAAACGTTTTGGTTGAAGGTCTTTTTAAAACTCCATTTCAATGTAAAGTGTGCCCTCTGCTGGAAGATGCTATTATAACTATCAGTCATATAGGTATTGTTCAACCTAAGAGCTGAGCTATTTTAGGTAAGATACAAATTGATTCTTATTTCTATTCTTGCCAGGTAATGTTCCTCCTATTTTCAGCCTAGATGCATTTCTTGCTACACAGAATGTCTCCTCTCTAGCTTCAAGCAGTCAGATATTCTCTGTGCTGGAAAGTAGTCTGCCTTAGAGCAGGAGTAGTCCAAGGGGCCAGAGCCTCTGCTCCATACTGAGAAATTAGGAAACTAAAAGATCCTATTCTCCAGAAAAAAGCTCACAAGATCTTCAAATAATCTAACTGTGCTTGTCACAGTGATTTTATGTTTATGTTACTTCTTGCTTTGTGATGAATTTTAGCTTTACATCTTTAGTATTCTAGTTGCATAATCCCCACAGCCTGGAATGTCAAAGACTTCTAAATATTTCAAACACAAGGGCATGCTCACAAAACTGCAATGGCTTCTTAACTGTGTATACTTTCATGCTATTAATAATATAGAATTTCTTTTCTTTTGAAATAACATTCTTAATCTTTTTGGAAAAGAAATAGATGAT